TCCCCATGCCGCCACGATGACCTCGTCGCTCTCGTCGCGCCTTCCCAAGAAAATACCTTCACTCCACCGCGGCTCCAGCTTGGAATAATCCTTCGCCTGGATATTGCAATCGATCGTCTCGCCTATCTGCCCCAGCGCTGACTTGTACTTCGCTCGCTCCGGTCTTATCCGTCTTGATCGCAAACCTAGTGAGTAAAAAACCCACGTGTCTGACCAGCCATGGCATGATCGAGCTGTTTGGACCGATCTCCACCTTCAGGTTGAACTCCAGCATGCTATGTAACGTCCGTGGTAGAGACTCCACTCGCTCCACGGCATTCTCGAGCGTCTCATTGCTCTGGTGAGAATACTCGGGTGATTTCTCCACCTGTGTGTTGTGCTTCCTCCTGTTCTTCACCGCCGTGCTTACCGCCTGTAATGATGGCTCGTGGTCGCCCTTCAAGATGATGTCCGCTGCACCCCGAACGTCTAAGTAGAAACCCACAGATGAGTTGACATACTCGCTGGGCCCCTTTGTGGATCACCATGATGGATGCCACCGCGTCCTCTGGCTTCTGAACCATCGCCAGGATGTTCACCATCTCCGTCTCCTGCACAGCGTTCACTAAGCAGTAGTCCGTGCTAATGACTGCTCTCGGCGGCGCCTCCTCTGGGTTCGTCTTCTTGCGGCCTTCCTCCTTGCCGCGCCCCCTCGGACACCATTTGCACCAGTCCTTGTGCGGCATATGCGCCCTCTCGTGGATAGCGATCCCCTCCGCGGTCGGATTGTACCTCTCCTTCCTGACCTTTGGTATCCGAGCCCCCTTGCTCTCCTCTGGTTCTTGTTGAACTCCTGCGGCGTCTTCTTCGTCAATTCCTTCCTGTGGGCAGGGCGCCCTGGCGTCCACGTCGACTTCTCTCGGCTATCTTCAGCGGCTTGCTCGACCTGTTGTTCTTGGTCTCTTCCTCGATCATCTTCTTGGGATTGCTGCTCACGTCTTGGTTGACCACCGCTCCGCCCTGCTCGTCGAACTCAACGCCCTGGGGCCCCATTCGTCAGATCGCTGACCGCAATGATCGTCTTGTGAACGTCACGTACGTGGAACTATCCTCGCATTGGTTGCGTTGTTCCTGACACCTGCATCCCCACCGTCCTGCAGTCGCCTGCATAGATCTTGGTACCATCCGTTTGTCGTAGTGGAGGTGCGTCTGCTTCTCGTTGCGTTCTCGGTGCGAAACTTGCTGGGGCATACACTCCGACACGAATTGGCCAGAACCTCGATATTCCCGTCAACATCACTATCTGAATCCTCAAATCGCAACCAGGCAGTTCTCGTCATTCTCCATGTTAACGCCATTGGGCTCTTCATCCTCACAATCTGCGATGTGCTGATCAGTCAGCTTGTCACCCTCACAATATGTGATATGCTGATCAGTCAGCTTGTCTTGCCCTCGGCGCCGTAGTCGTGCCCTAAGTATTTCATGTCCTGGTCCATTCGCTTGTCGGGAGCGGGGGCGGTATTCGGCTTGTCCTGCTTGTCCTTTCCGCCCTTGCCCTTGCTTGTGCTTCTGTTCTCAATTCCTCCTTCGTGATTTTTCCGTCCTTCATGTCCTGTGTGGCTTTCTTGCATTCCACCAGCTTGTGGCCTTTCTTCCCGCAGTACTTGCATCGCTATCTTTTCGGGCTGTTGTCGAAGCCCTTACCTTTGCTCTTTTCCTTGCCGAACTTGTGTTTGCCGTCTCCCCCGTGCTTGCCACGCGTCAGCGCATCCAAATCCATCGATGTTTGTCCGCTGAGCGCCATCGCCGCCTGACTTGGCCTCAGGTAATTTACACTTCGGCCCTGACCACCGCATACGTGGTGAATATCGTAGCATTCAGCATCAAGTGTTCTCGAAGCTCGCCTGGAACCAGTCGGGTACTGAGCACCTTTTTGATGGACTCCATGACTTTCTCACCAGTCTGCTCCTCGTATCGCTGAACGAGCGTCTCCCACGATACGATGCCTTTGATCGGACCATTATCATGCACATGTGGATGCAATATGGAGTCCAGCATCCCTGAGAACCTCGACGGCACTTTGGGGTCGAATTCCACGCATAGTAATCGCCACGCTCCCAGTACCTCGCCTGAAGGAACGCTCTTCACAATGCCCAGCGCCTTGTCTTTGCACGTCAACAACAAGATGTAATATAGGTTGGTGTTCACACGCTGCGCCTCTTCGTCCAGGTCTTCGTGCGCGCAGGCTTCAGCGTCCACCTTCGCTGCGTCACGCATCAGCTTGGCCATGTGCGGATCCATTGCCATACAGTATGCTGCTAGGACGAAAGTTCAGTTCTCCCGAGTCGCTCCTTTTTTGTATTTGGTATTCTCGCCAAGCTCTCCTGAGAACTTGTCAGGCTTGCCGAGGAGCTTGGTGTCCACCAGCGATTCTGGAGGGTGTGCAGGTCCTGGTCGATACTCCTCATGTCCTGCGATTCCCGCTGCTGCCTTTGCTGCTGCCCCCCGAGCGTTGGCCTGCTGTGCCTGCCTCTCTGGCTCCGTGGCCACAACACCCTCCGTGGCCACTACCCGTTGCAACAACTCCTCTGTTGTTGCCACCACTGCGCGAGAACGGTGGAGCCTGGCCGTGGGCACAACCAGGCTCCGCTACCGTGCGCAGTGGCGAAGCCCCTGGAACCCTTTTCTTGAGCCAATTGGCGTCTGTACACATAATATCAGCTCGTGCATCGTGAAACCCTGCTCCCTCGGTTTTTTTAACCCGCGTGTCTGGCAGCTGTTCCTCACAGGGGGGGCCCTCGCCGGGCCCCATTGGGCAGCGTCGACGGACACTGCGGCGTCCGGCGGGGGGCGCCGCGGACGGCGCCCACATCGGGGGCAGAAGGCCGCCTGCCCAACAGCGGCCGCTGCCGGTTTTGGGCAACATTTGTTGTTGGGCATCGTACCCAGTCTCGGGTCGGGCGAAAGGGGGGGTTTGGGAAAGGGGGGGTTACGAAATTTGCTGCATGCAGCTGGTTTCGGCCCACCGAGGGGCCCATTCCTCGATACATAGCGCCTCCGGCGCCGGGAGGCGCCGGGAAAATCAGCTACGTGAGCTGATTCTCAAACCCCCCCTTTGCTATCCCCCCCTTTCGCCCGACCCGACAGTCTCTCCCTGCCCATCCCTCCACCGCCGGAATACAGCCAGATCCACCGCTTCGGAGTCATGCCCTGAAGTCTCGAGGAGTGGCGGAGATGGGTACCTGCCCGCCCGCATTAGTCTGCATCGGCAAGATGACGATGTCACGGAGTACCTCTGGGAGGTGGTGAACAATACAGAACATCGATGTTAACGAAATTGTCCTTCTCTAGGGGCTGTGTGAAACCCCAGAAATACTGGTCTGGACCGCTTTCTGGACGTATTCTGGCGGCGCAGTGGATCTGGATGTATCTTGGCGGCGCAGTCCCCGAGCGTCCAAAGAGCACGGCGGCTCGGGGCGGGGCGCCAGTCCCGCGGCCCTGCCCCGCCGGAAGCTCCGGGGGACGGTCCCCAGCCCCGGCCGTGCTGGCCTCGGGGGCCTGGCCGACCGAGGGGCTCGCGGCATCGCGCGTCCCTGGCCTTCCCTGCTCTGTCCTTCGTCCCCAGCCCCTGCATCCTCGCTCCTCGCTCCTCCTCCTCCTCCTCCTCCTCCTCCTCCTCCTCCTCCTTCTCTCCTCCTCCTCCTCCTACTCCTCCTACTCCTCCTACTCCTCCTCCTCCTCCTCCTCCTCCTCCCCTCCTCCTCCGCCTCCTTCTCCTCCTCTCTGATCCTTCTACCTCCTCCCTGTGTCCTCCCTCCCGCCTCCTCATTCCTCCTCCTCCTCCTCCTCCTCCTCCTCATCATCATCATCATCAGCAGCAGCAGCATCAGCATCAGCATCAGCATCAGCATCATCATCAACAACATCATCGTCACTATCACAATCCTCTAGATCATCATCATCGTCATCACCAACTACAACAACAAGATAACACCATCATTGTCATCATCAACCTTATCATCGTCACCACCATCATCATCAGCATCATCCTCATCAGCATCAGCATCAGCAGCATACTCGTCATCCTCATCATAGCCATCATCATCCTCATCATCATCGCTATCATCATCGTCATCGTAGTCATAGCCATCATCATCATATTCATCATCATGTTCGTCATCATCATCGACAGCAGCATCATCACCATAGTCATAATCGTCATCATCATCATCATCATCAGTATCATCATCACCATCATCATCATCATCATCATCATCATCACCATCATCATCATCATCATCATCATCATCATCATAATCATAATCATCATAATCATAATCATCATCATCATCATCATCATCATCATCATCATCCTCACTTCGCACCTCAGCTGTTTCCCATCGACGCTGTCATCCCGACTGCTTCTCCCCTCCCTCTCCTCCCTCTCCCCGCTTGAGAAGAAAAGTACGCGGATGGGGGACGACGGAATGTACCGTTTGAGGAGGGATGGCGAGGAGGAGGATGACAATGGGGGAGGAGGTAGAGGAGGAGGAGGAGGAGGAGGAGGAGGAGGAGGAGGAGGAGGACGACGACGACGACGACGAGGGGTTCAAGGAGGGCGAGAATGAGAGTCGTCATTCATGTTTCGTGAAGGCAGCCAGCAGCAGGAGTAGGAGGGAGGACGAGGGGGGAGAGAACTGGAAGATGGAGGAAAACGAGGCGTACGAGGAGGAGGCGGCGGAGGACGTAAAAGGCGAATGTGATAGGACAACTGACAGGGAAAAGGAGGAGGAGGAAGAGAAGAAGGAGGAGGAGGAGGAAAGGGAGGACGGCGACGACGACGAAACAAAAAATGGAGAGGAAGAGGAGGGAGACGAGTTTGAGGAGGAGGAGGAGGGAGGAGGAGGAGGAGGAGGAGGAGGAGGAGGAGGAGGAGGAGGAGGAGGAGTATGCCAGGAGGGGCTGGGTGGAGGAGGGAATGGGGAGAGGGTGGAGAGGGAGGCCGGCCGCCGCGCCCGGAGGTGCTGAACTCGCGGGAGGGGCCACTGCACTCCCTGGAGCGCGCTTGCGGGGGGGGGGGGGGGCAGGATCGCAGGCCTGGAGGTTGGCACCGACACGAAGATCGGCGGTGTGCCTCCACCGAGGGAAGACGATCCCGATCTCGGTGATGGTGGTCATATTCTGGCTTCCAAGGTGGCCGAACTATTGCCACCAACACCGAAATCTAGGATCATCTTCCCCCTGTGGAGGCAACCCCCTGGGCTGGTGTTGGTGCCAATTTCCAGGCCTCCAACAGGATAGAGTGGGGCCGCGCATCATCGCAGGCGACGTTTCTCCCCCAGCCCCCCACGTTTCGTGTGGAAAAAAGGAGGGGGAGCGCGCGATACATCCCCCAGCGGGGGCTATGCGGACGTACCCCTATCTAGGATTGACGCCCCCCCCATCGTATATCCCAGGGTTGGGCCCAAAATTTGTGGTCCAGTCGAAGCCCCACGAAGCCTGGGATAGGGGTCGACACGCTTCCTTTTACATCAAGAAACTTGATCACTTTCGTCAGGGTACGCTGGGTTTCTTCGCTCCGCGCGCTGCGCGGAGGCCTCCCGCGTGCGTGAGAGGGCCTGCTGAATCCGGGGTGCGACTATGCTTCCCCCAAGTCGCACCTCGCGCGCGGGTCCTCAGGGCCTGGTTTCTTCCGAGGGCTTCTTGCGGCCGCGTCCAGACATTCGGGGGCAGGAGGGGATCAATGAGTCTCTTCCCTCTCAGCGCCCCCAGAAGTTGCAGCCTTGGGACTGGCACTAAGATTCGCTCAGATCTGCGCCGAAAGTGGCCTGTTCCAAGATGCTGCTGAGCCGATGCTGACTAGACGTGAGCAGCAACAGAAATCCACTACCTACACCCAACTTGGCCAGACTGGCCTCTGCTTCTCCTTCCCAGGATGCGCGAACATGGACTGAGGCGCGCGGACTAGCGACTGGCCCCCCGCTTCCATGCGAAGTCAGCGCGCTCTGTCGCCAGATCAGGTGGCACCAGCGCCGCGTTTGGGGGACAGTGCCCCCGATCCGTGGATCTGGCGCCCACACGCCAGATGCACAGATCCGTAGTCCCTAGCGTGTGCCCGATTCTCGTCTTCCCTCCGGAGACGGCGAAGCGGCATATCCAGAAGAATTCGAAGCTCCGCGCGGATGTCTTAGATCTGCGCCGACCCTCCTGGCGCCACGGAGAGAGGTCCATCGCCGGTCCAAGAAAGCCGAGCGGACTTCCGAAAGTGTACGTTCATGCCCTCTTTGCTCGTTCTTTGTCTCCCTGCAGCTGGCACGAATGTGGTTGAGATCAGCCCTGATCGTAGATGGTGCCCTCGTATCCTCCGTGTCTGGGCGGTCCACCTGGGAGTGTTTCTTGTTTCGGACAGGGCTCGACCTTAACGGCGTTTTGGCAAGCTCGTGGACAGTGTTCGTTTTGGTTTCGTTTTGCAGCGAAGGCGGAACGAAGACAAAGCGAGGCGGAACAACAACAACACGAACACGAAACGCACGGTTTTGGTCTAGCCCTGACAAATCCCAATGGGGCCTTGGGGCATCCGGCGAAGGGGTCCGTGTGCTTCACGCGCTGTCCTCTGGCAGTGCTGCGATTGTTTTCCGTGGTGCAGGCCTCCCCTGGGTGAAGGCTCGGGCTGAGGCCTCGGCGCGCGAGCCGGCCCCTCTCGGAGAGGAGTCGGACCCACACGCGTCGGAGGTCGCGCCATCGGGCTCGTCTGGCGTTGTAGTCCCGCGGGAAGAGGCAAGCTGCAGAAGCATGAGATGTCCCAGGTCCGCGCGGGCTCTCCTGGGTCTGCACTGTCGCCTCTGACGTCCCCCCTGGCGCGCTCCGCGCGCCAGGGGGGGGCGGGGTCCAGCGCCGATCCAGGCAATCCGCGCGGGCCTTCGACAGTTTACAGTCGGACCCCACGACAAGAGACACCATGTTTCGTCAGGGTGCCCTGGGTTTCTTTGGCTCGCGTTCGCCGTGGAGGGTTGCAGCCATCTTGAAGAAGCTGCGAATGGCAGGGCACCCCGGGTCCCTCGGGTGTGGACGCGTTGGGGTTCTTGCAGCCGAAGTGCAACCTAACCCTGAACCAAGAAACCTCAGGGGGGGTGAGGATGACGGGAAGCGCCTTCTCGGAACGAGAAGGTGATGGGAATTATCTAGCATGATTGAGTCAGGTATAAATCAAGAACTAAGACGCGAGGAACAATTGGCTCCCAATTGTTAAGGTACATCGCTTGGCGGATCCCCCTCAAATTGGCCGTTTCGCTTGATATTTCCTCGAAACCATGAGATGTTGAAATCGTATGTTTGAGACGCCTTTCGTTAAACATGAGGCTCTCGCTCGAGACATCCTCGAAGCATGAGTTTCGGAGCTCGCTCACGAAATTCAGCGAATCGTTGGAAATTTCCGATTCGCCGGAGGCATCCTCGAAAAATTGCTCCTCCTCCTCCTCGAACATTTGATCCTCCTCCTACCGATCAAGCCATCACAACATGCTCCTCCTCCTCCTCCACCTCCCCCTCCTCCTCCTCCTCCTCCTCCTCCCCCTCCTCCTCGTCCTCCTTCTCCTCCTCCTCCTCCTCCTCTTCCTCCGTAGCCATTTTGGCTCAAGGCCATATCGGGAACTCAACCCCCCGTCTCAAGTGGCCAGCGCCCGCCGCGCGCGTGGGGTCCTGGAGAGGGCCCCTGGACAGGGACCCCTGCATTTCCTTTCACACTGTTACAAGCACTTTGCCACTGTACTCAGTTTACCGCACGCTTCCCGAAGCTTGCTTTCATTGGCGTGATGGCGCTCACGCTCGAGGGTCTGAAGGAGTTGCTTGCTGGCCAGCTGCGGACACATGTCGATCCGCTCAACGAGCAGATCACCAACCTAACGACCTCGATTGCTCGCAACATGGACGCGGTCAAGCGCCTGGGCCAGGACTTGAACAAGAGGTTGGATGAACAGCAGGAGGCTATGGCAGAGCAGCGCAGGGAGTTGGAGAGGCAGGCTGCTGCCATCTCAGCTATGCAACTCGGACAGGCCATTGCCATCGACAGTGAGGACGAGCTGATGACCGGGTCCACCCCACCGCGCAGGCGTGCTCCTGTCCCGCCTTCGCCTGTGGTGGATGCGGAGCTCACGGCGCGGGTGCTGCAGCTAGAGGAGAAGTTGGCCTCCACTGTTGCCTCCAGCTCGGCTTCGGCGTCCAGCGATCCTTGGTCGTCGTTTCCGCGGCAGCGCGCTCCTGGCGCTGCACAGCCACCCACTAGTCGTGATGAGGGTCGTGACCTCGGTGAGCGTAACAAGAAGAATATCTGGGTGCGGGGCTTCCCGCGCAAGCTCATGCAGGCGACGTTCAAGTCGCACTTTTCCATCGTGAAGTCAAAAATGCCATCTCAGTGCGCTGAGAAATGCCGCGTGCAAGCTCAGAACTACAAGTTCAGCTACAATATCCAGTTCGACGAGGTGGACGACGCGTTGCTCTTCCACTCCAAGTGCCGCGCGGACCCCTCCTTCCTGACATGGACGGACCCCCCGCAATGCTGAGGTGGTACAGCTCCGCGTGGGCTGGGATCACCCGCAGCCGATTCGTCATCGTTCGTACGCCCTTGGACAGTGTTGGCAGATCGTGCTCGACGCCTTGAAGGAGCAGTGCTTTTGGTTCGAGTCCATGAAGTTGGGATCGAACCCGTTCACTGGCCACCTTCATCTACGCAACTCGGCCAATGAGGAGGTTTGGGACTTGGTGAAGATCACCGAGCACGAGTCCAGCCAGGGCACGTTCACCGTTGTGCCGCTCGAGGACTGCCACGTCATCGGGCTGTCGAAGGAGTCCATCGACAGTATCTCGGAGCGGGTGTCCGCGATGGTGGCCAAGCGCCGCTAGGAGATCGTCTTGCGCGACATGCAGGGCATCGTCGGGAACGCGACTAGCGTCTTCGCGATTGGACGACGAGCTGCAGGTGCAGCAGGAGGGTGTCGTGCAGTGAAGCGCAGGCGATGTGTGCCGCCTGTTCCGCCGTCTTCCCCTTCCTCTTCCACGTCCTCGTCCTCCTCCTCCTCCTCTGTGGGTTTTGAGCGGCTGGAGGCTGTGTGTCACATTTTTGATGCCCCCTTAATTCGTTCCGATCGTTCGCCTTTTAGAGTTCTGAATTCGTTTGGGGCGGTCTCGTGGAATACGCAAGCTTTGCTAGGTAGTGTTTGGGCCAATCATAGGCGTCAGAGTCAGAAGTATAGCAAGTTTCGGTTGTTGTTGGAAAGATTTGACATCGTAAATACGCAGGAGACTCATGGGACGCCCCAAGACCTTAATGCCCTTCGTCGTGATTTCCCTTCCCATATCCACCTAGGCCCCTTCTGTAGCTCGCATTCTGCTGGCGGAGTTATTACTTCCATCTCGAAGGCTTTCTTGAAGAATGTCAGGGCTGCTCGGGTCTCAGGGTCCTGGTTGCGAAGCTCTTCGGGGAGTTCGGGAACCTGAACACAGCCAACGTTCATATCGATCCTGGGATCTCTGTGCGTGCTGCTCATAGTGTTCTAGGACGGCTTCGCCGATCTGTGCCCGCAGCTGGTGGTGGCCTCTCGTGTCTTGCAGGTGATTGGAATTTCCCCGAAGCTGACGAGCACCGTCAGGCGACGGATGGATTAGTCTCTCTTCCGCGGGAAGATGACCTGCTGCGCTCCCGGTTTGCCGGCCTGTTCGGCGACTTCGTGGAGGTCCCTCAGCACGAGGCCACCCGTAGGTCTGTTGCTGGGGATGTCGTGCTAAGTGTTTGTAGATTGGATCGTGTCTACTGGTATGCTCCCGCGGCTGAAATCCCGGACTGGAAACCTCGGTCTAATGTGATCGGTCTGGCCCACAACCGCTCGGAGTGCTCGGGCCATATCCCGATCTTTGTGCAGACGCCCCCTGGGGCCCCTACGACTCCGACGCTACCGCGTTGGATGACCGAACATCCTGACTTCGGGAAGACTGTGGAATCGATCCTTCAGGAGAGCGGGGTCAGCCCTGACCCATTCGAGGCCCTGCTGGAGTGCAAGGCCGC